GGGAAAAAAAAAGCCCCCCCCCCCCCCAGTCCCTGGTGTTGGGAGCAGTCTGGTTTTTTTTTTTTATATACCCTTGAGGAAGTGTGGGCTGAAGCCCACCAAGTACAACAATAAGTTCCCCTTGGTAGTGCAGGCCACTGAATGCATATTGCTGATTTCTTGGGACAGCTTAAAGACAAAGCAGGGATGGGAGTGAGGGTCATATGTTCAAAATGAGCGTGCCAAGGTGGGATACTGAGTAGAGTCCACTGAGTCCTGAACGAGTCCAGGGAGCCACTGGATACTACCCAGTGAAACTGCCTGGAGACGTGAATGGACCAGAGCTAGGAAAATGGTCCTGCTGTCCCTGGGGCTAGGGATAGTCCGGAGAACTCCTGTTTTTTTTAATAATGGTAAGTCTCTGTGGACTTGTCCAGGCTCCTCCTGGGAGGGTTCAGGTCCCTCATCAAGATCTGAACCCTGTTGTGCTAGTGGTCTAGTTATGTTGCAGCATAAAGGCTGATCAGTGCTTAGGGACTAGAGCTCCCAGTTGCTGGTTTCGGGTGAGACTTTTCTACCAACAGAGAGAAGGCCTGGGACAAACAGTTCGAAAGATATAAAATGTTATGCTGGTACCAGCTCTTTTTGCAGCATTGTAACAGCATCCGTAAAGCTAAGGGAAGGTACAGTTTTATGGTATGTTAAATAAGCAGCCTGCATTAGGAGGATGAAAAGTATTAAAAATATGAATGCAAAGCTTTCCATATGTGTTCCTCTGACTGCAGAATGCAATACATGCTGTTTATAAGGTCTGCACACTTTCTGTTCTTCAAACAAAAGTTTTTAAATTCTGCACAAGTGGATGTCAGGCCATGGTTTTCACCCAAAAGAGCTTCCTACTTGCTGCTGGTGAATGAGCAAAAGCAGAACTTTTCAGTACTTTCTGGAGATATTTTTAAGTTAAATATACTTAAGGTGCAGATGTGTCAATAAATGCACTTTGATTTTTCCTTCTTATACCAGTCCTATACCCTGTCTTCTTTATTCTGTGTTCTTCAGGACTTGTCAACTTTGTTCATAAACTGGCATGTAGCTATGGTATGTTCTGAACAATGCATAAAAATTGCAGCCAGTTGTTTTATTGTGTATCACAAAAGAGAGTAGTTTCTTAGAACCATGGAATACTTACAAGCATTAAAAAACTGCAGTGTGTGACACTCCTGTTTCACGCTTTTGACAATAGAATACTTGCTTTCAAATGTGTTAGAGCTAACAAATTCCAGAAGAATCAGTAGTATCACCCTTCTTTCTGTATAGAGACCAGCAAGTTCAAATTGTAGATGCAGGACACTTCTCCTTCAATTGAAGGGCTAAGTGATAATTTGAAGCTGGGCAGAAAAAGCTCCTAAAGGTCCGTCTGTCAAAAATTTTTACTCAGCATTAAATCCTAAATAGATAAAATGTTCTATCTTTGCCATAGAAAAAAAGCTAGTTCTCTTCACCTGCCCTTCAAGGACACTACTCTGTGAATACCCTTTACATTTATTGGAGTGTAATTTATTGACTGTCTTAATGTGTGGTTATGGTTAGAAAAGTGACTCTGTAAAAATGACATCTTGGCATTTTATATTTATTTTCTGTCAATGGCTTCTGTATGAATTTTCCTAAGTGTCCTCACTGTTTGGTTCAATCTCTTTTTTTTCTGAGAAACAAACTGGAGGTTTTGATTCTCCCTTTCCCTATAATAAAAATCCCAGAATTCAGAATTTATCTAGTGATCTTTCTGGCAATGCATAAAGCAAAGTAGGTTAGTTTCTTGCTCTTCTATAGCTAAACTGGCTAATAGGAAAAAAAAATGTTGACACCTCCCCCCCTTCAATAACTGGGGTTTGAGACCACAAGAGGCAGGCAGACACCTGCATGTGTAGAGTTATCTTCAGACATTTTACAGTGTCGAATTAGAGTAATAATGTTTGATAACTTGCAAATTATCATAAAATTGGCATAAAAACATAGAACCTTATTTTTTAGTGTGGTCTTGCATCATGTCCTTGATATGACTTTCACGCTGTCTTTTTCCTGATAGTAATTACATTGAAATCTGTAAAGTTGCTGTCACATCTCATACTGACACAAATGGAGCCCAATATTTTTCCCTCAAAATGAAAGAAATGTGACTACTTTCAGTTGATATCCTTTTAAGTAGTACACAAAATGGGGGAAGAAGTGAAGAGGGATAAAAAGGGAACTGCACAAAGGTGGCAAGCCTCTTTGAAGAGAAAGTGAGATTTTTCTCTTCTCTTCAAAATACAGCTGTTTATTTTGATTCTGGAACCAGTCAAAGAGAGCTTGTATCATTATTGGTTTGCATGATGAGACCAAGGATTACCCCAAATGTTCCTTGGCTTTGATCATGAGAGAAGTAATTGAACCAAACACCACCTGAAAAAGCAAATATTTCTCTGTTCTGCTAAACAAAACCACAACAACTGGTGTTCTTGTTACTTGTCCACGTAGTGTCTCTCCTTATCTTTTCTTTCCTCTTCCCCCACACCCCGAAAATACAGCTGGTTAATCGAAGAAAGGAATTTGAGCTGCTTGTCCCTCTTTATAAAATTTCATTTACAGTGGTTCTGTTAATACAGTAGATGATGATCCACTTCCAGGTTTGCGTGCCTGAACCAAGTGAAAACTGATACCCGAATCCTTTCTTCCTGCAGCTGACAAGGTTCTACCAGACCATTTTGGTCATAGGGAAGGAAAAACAAGATAGGGCTTATGTGCCTGGGAGATGGTTCTTACTATATTTACCTAAATATAAGAAAACTGCCTAATAATTAGATATTATATATGTAAAATATATAGAGGAGCATTGATACATCGGTCCATTGTATTAGCACCAATAAAAGGAAAATTGAAATGATTGGCTATCAGCTTTTTGTGGCTGATGTGGCCGATAATGTCACTAATAAATGCCATATGCATGCGTAGCTGTAGCATGCATGCGGCCATGAATGCAGCCTGGCAGCTTGGAGAACAGCGGCTGGCCAGTAAGTTTGGTGGGGGGGAAGGCGCAGGGGGAGCAGATCAAGGCCTCCAGAGTGAGGGAGGGAGTGGGGCAGGGGCCGGGCCAAGTGCTGCCTGACCGTGGTGTGGGACAGAACTGCAGGCAGCTCATCTGGTGGGGGTGGTTGACGCTGCTGTGCACACCCCTGGTGGAGGCATGGGGGGGCATGTGCCTCCTGGGTCTGCATGGAGCAAGGGTGGGCTGCCCTCTGTGTGCTTAGGGCTGGGGCTGTGCCAGCTTCTTCGCAGTGGAGGGGCTGGGCCAGGGCTACGCGTGGGGTGAGTGGCAGCAGTGCTGGGAGGGAGGGGTACATGGGGGCTATGGTGAATTTTGGGGTGGCTGTAGCCCCACCTCCCAACACTGCCACCGCTTGCCCCACCCCTGCCCACCTCAAGCACAGCTCCAGCCCAGTCTCCCCACCAGGAAGAGGCTGGCCCCAAGCTCGCAGCAGGCAGTATGCCCTTGCCTTGTACACAGATCTGGGGGGCACATACCCTGCATGCCTCCCCTGGGGTGTGTGCAGCAGTGGGAGCTGCCTCTCTCTTTCCATCCCCTGCCTCCCCCCCAGATGAGCTGCCTACAGTTCTGTCCTGTGCCCCACCCTACCTGTACAGCCACTGCCCTAGACTTAGCCCCACTCCCTCCCTCGCTGTGGGGACCTTGATCTGCCTCACCCCCTACTCTCCCCTCCCTCACACCCCATCCCCACAACAGACTTACCAGCCGGATGCTGCTCTCCAAGCTGCTGGGCTGCATATCTGCAATTGGATTGGTATTGGCCGATAATGGCTGGTCAATAATTAGCCATTGGTATTGGCCCAGGAAATCTTTATTGGTGCACCCCTAATAATTTACAAATTTTGTTACAATTTTTCAGGTATAGAATCTAATTATTGGAGGTTTGACTTGAATTTGTCCCCCTCCTACTGCTACAACAGGGTAAATAAATCTGGTGGGTCAGGTAGCCCCCTTGCCTTTTGCCCCCCAAGATTTCTTTCTCCTGCAGCTCCTTCTCCTCTCCTTACTATCAGACCCTGTTCTCCCTAAGCACATGGAAGTGAAAGACAAATTTGAAAATGCATACCTTGAAATAATATACCTGTAATAATTTGCATGTAGGCAAGTTATAACAGGTACCCATAGACTTAATTCATCCAGATTGAATTTAGTTTACCCTTTTTTTATTTTTTAAGTGCTACAAATTCGGCACAGGCGTTCCATAAACACACTTTTTTTACCTACTTATACATAATACAAACTGTGCATGACATTAGTCTAAAGGTAAAAGACTCATGATTTACCATATACTTCATTTGGCTGGACCCTAGCAGAGTCAACAGCATTTCAAGCCATGGTGACCCCACAGCTCAGCACTGTTCAGTGTGTGTGTGTACTCTAGATACCCTGCACAAAGGATCCATATGCTAATTAGCAACTAGTCGTGACTGGAACTGCATGTTTCTGTTGCAAGTCCTGGGATCCTCTAAAATTTATATGCAGATAAGGTGCAGGGCAGCCTGGCTTCACCTCATGAAGAGTGGGGGCCACACTAATCATAAGCGACAGGCTGAGGGAGGGGGCAACAGGGATTCTGGGTGAACTGTTTGGGGTCCCCCGTTTGGTTTGCCAGATATTTAAGGCTGATAAAGAAACGTGAATCATTGGAAATGGAAAAGAAGAGCACAGACAACTTGTGGGAGAGAAGAGGAAGTAGAAATGTATTCAATAGAGCTGCACTGATATATTGGTGGCATATCGGATTTTATAAACAGAAAATTGACATTATTGGCAATCGGTCTTTTTGGACAGTGTAGCTGATTAATGTCATTGATAAATGCCACTTGCATGTGTGCAGTTGCAGCATGCACGTGACCAGAAACACTGCTGGGCTGCATATTAGCTATCGGATAGGTATCGGCCGATATGACTGGTTAAAAATCAGCCTTTGGTATCAGCCAAAAAAGTCTTTATACCCCATACTAGTGTACCCCTAGTATTCAGTGTAGTGGCTCACCCTGATTTGAAAGAATCAGCACTGAGGGGGCCTGCATGCAATGGGCACTACCCATATATTTTATTCAGATGGGCTGCACTTATCAGGTGCGGCAGGAGGCGGGTGTCAGGACTGGCTCTGGCCCTCCCACTACCAGCATAGAATTGCAGCATCTCTAGGCCTGGTGCCAGTTCCATGTGGAGGGAACACACCTATTTTTAAGGGCCACACACGCACAAAAAAAGGCTCCCATCAGCATTTTTGGCACCAGGGGAGGGCCTGGTATTGTAGCACCCTCAGGCCCAGTGCTCATTCCCACAAAAGGTTCCCATCAGTATGTTTGCCCCATATGGACCATATGTTTTATAGTCATGCTCAGTGTTAGGTGCATTTAAGCAGCTTCATAGCTGGTTTCCATTTACTGAGCACATGGTGCTTTTGGCAGCAGTTTAATGATAAACACATTGTCTAATGAGGTTTCCTTGTATGCGAATATAAGATAAGGGGTTTTTTCCCTCCATATCGCTTGTGGGGGGGGGGGAACCTTGCCTTGTATTCATGCCCTCGGATGCCAAATCCTAAAGATCCTAGGAAATACAGTGCCTCTGCCCTTTGTCTATAATTGGCTTGGGAGCTCTGATGTCTTGACATCATGCTTATTGACTCCATTGGAATTATACTACTAAGACTTTTCTTGATGTTAACTGCCACCTATTGAAACAAGTTTACCCAGAGGTGTGAAGGGAAATGTAAGACAGCTTAGTTCCTTCCGTATTTCTCTTTAGATCCTGAACCAATGGATCTTAATCCTTCATTGGTAAGGATAGAAGTGGCTCTTGGTTTTTAGACTGTCTCTTAAAGTGTGAAAAGTTGATCTAGTGTCAGGTTGCTGTGTGCCCATATTTTAAGCTGATTCATTGTAATAGGAAGCTTTTTTGCTCATTAAAATGAGATGGAGTGAATGGTTTTCCTTGGCTTAAGGAGGCTGACAGTTGCAATGATGTACCTGCAAAGCTGACTAACAGTTTTTGAGCTTAGTAAAGTTTGGTCTTGCAGCAGTAGCTGTTCATTCTCTCAGCTACCTATTAATTTTTGGTCTGTTTAGCATGGGCAAAGAAATTCTCCTGAAACAAGCATTTTAAAATACATTTATTTCTGGTGAAAGGTGCCAGCTTGACAGCCATGGAAACTGAAGCTCTGTATTGGCAGAACATATGCAATATGGGCAGCAGTATTGCTCAGTAGCAACTTCCTTATTGATTAAGTGGCACTGATGAATTACCAAGGGAGTTCTCTCCAGTTGTTCTAGACCTCTTAGGAGGAGAAGAAAAATCATGTGAAGGTAATATACAGCTTTTATATTCTATAAAGAAATAGAGGGGCCTAGAATTATTTTTAAAGTGACTTACAGTTTGTGAAAGTGCCAGCAAATATGTGCTACATTTTGCATTGTTTGATTGTTTTTACTTCTCGAGGCGTTAGCAAATAACTTTAAAAATAAAAGTGAAGTAGTCTGCAGTGTAATGGCTGCTGCTTTTTTGCAAGAAGTCTAGCTATAGTGTTAGAGTGAGAGACGCTTTCTCTTTTGTACAAAATAAAAGTAGAAAGAAAACTATTATTAACGCTGTGCATGTCATAATGAAAAGAAAAGAAAGAGGAAGCTGCTGTGCAGTGCTTGTGGAGGAAAGCAGCTGTGCGCAGTAGTAGGGAGTCCTGTACAGGTATAACTTGCTGTACAGAATTACAAAGGTCAGAAGAAAATATTAACAGAATACTGTTGATTGATAAATGATTGTGTTTTAGGGCTTGGCAACATTTTTGAGTGCCAAAAACACTCATAACCGTGACTTTTAAGATGTTGGCATGCCAGGGATGGATGGTGGGGGACCTATGAGGGTCCTGATCCTTGTTGTGGCTCCACAGCCCCAGCCATTCCCTGCTGTCTACTCTGAGGTGGGCATGCCAAGCAAAATGACTTTGCGTGCCATGCTCTGGCACCCATGCCAGGAGTTGCCTACCCCTGGTCTATTTCAATACATTTTATATTTAGTGCTCCTCACCCTGTATCCACTTTGGTTTAAAATGTCTCATTTCAATCTAAACCCACCCATAACCACTTTTTAAAAAGCATGATTTAGTTGCAGGTGTTCAGCATCCTAGATGTGAGCAAAACAGTCCGTATTCTATAATTATTCCTTTTCTTAAGAATCCAGGCATTCTCTTCTAACTACTGAGTGGAATATGAGTTAACTTACATGTGCCAGCGTACGTTATGTTCTCACAATCACTTTGTTGTGCAGTAGAGAGCTGTTGGAGAACATTATATTTTATTTAGCTTTGCATGGTAATTTTATTGGTGTATATTTGGAATTAAATGTTTTTATAACTTATTCATAGAACATGTGGTTGTTTTTCAGTTCCTGAAGTGGAAGATTCTGAAGGTTTATGACTGTTTCTGGTCACGTTAGGTTTAAGTACCTAAGTATGCTGGTGATATTATGCGCTGTGTACTCTGTGCCCACAGATATGTTTATATTTTTGTTTTTACAGTAACAGAATTTAGTATCTTCCAAGACAGCGATGGCTGTTTCTCTACATTTTGAATATGGAGGCCACAGGAACAGATGAAGTAGAAAAACTAAAATCAAAGTTTATGTCTGCATGGCATAACATGAAATACAGTAAGTGAAACAGTGAGTGAAATCCTTGTATCAGTGAAATAAATGGGAGTTTCCCAAATGACATTATTGGGGCCATAATTTCACTCAGGGAGCATTCTCATTTAAACATTTTAATTAAAAATGTAACATGGTCTTTGAAACCAATGTTAATGAGAAGCTTAACATCTGAGTAAACCATCTTGTTTAGATTGTCTCTGAAATTTGAGGATCTCCTTTTTTCAAAGTTCAGACAGTTGCTGTGTTGAAGAAGAGCCTGTAAGAATAAACACAGGTGACATGATTTGTGTATGGCCTTAAACAGAGGTATTACAGAATATCAACCGAAGCAATTTTGGTCATGTATTTTGAAAAAAAAAATTAGGACCTTGGGTGAAGTTCAGGCTCCAGTTAAGAGCTAAGTTACGTTCACATTGGTAGTGTACTTTTCTGAAACTGTGCATATCTAAAAACATGATCAAAAGACAACAGTTAGCTATTTAATGGTGAACTCCCAAACCCTAATGAGACTTCACCTTCTCTTCCTTCAGGCCGGAGGCAGCTTAAATATAACACAGGGCTTCTGAATAATGTTTGTTTAATTTCTCATATCTGGCTTGTAGAGATGCTCCAAGACATGGGTGGGAAAGATGTTTTTTTCCCTTTAAAATGAACAAAGAAACTAGGAAATGTAGTGGTCATAACCTGTGATTCTTATTAGTCAAACAGCTTCCACTTAAGAAGCATTTGGGCCTAAATGTGAGAAATGGTTAATGCAGTGTTTTAATTAGGGGTGCACCAGGAGACCTGGCAGAAGAGCAAGGAGGAGGGGGCAGGAGGTGCTCTCATACTTCCTAAGAAACCAGGGCAATCAACTAGTTACCTCATTGCCTGTACACGAATGCACAAAGCCTGGGAAACGAGCAGGAAGAAATGGAACTTGGGCAGCAGTGACCACGAGATGATAGAGTTCAGGATCCTGAGGAAAAGAAGGATGGAGAGCAGCAGAGTGAGGACACTGGACTTCAGAAAAGCAGACTTCAGCTTGCTCAGGGAACTCATGGACAGGATCCCCTGGGAAGCCAGTCTGAGGGACAGAAGAGTCCAAGAGAGCTGGCTGTACTTTAAAGAGGCCTTACTGAGAGCGTAGGAACAAACCATCCTGATGTACTGGAAGACCAGCAAGTATGGCAGAAGACCAGCTTGGCTTAGCAGGGACCTCTTCAGTAAACTAAGTCACAAAAGGGCAGCTTATAAGAAGTAGAAACTTGTCTGTCTTTGTTTTAACAGAGTACCTGGAAAATTGTGATCATAATCATTTTCTTGGTACAGGCCATGCCATGCTCAGTTCATGCAAAAAGGTAGAGTTAACAGAAGTTTGGCCGCCTGAATTTCCTGCCTTTTTAGTGCTTACCTATACAATATTAAAATTGCAATAATATCTTGCACCTTTAATTTGGAGGTGACATTGTTACCTTGAATTATTTGCATACAAATCCATTCCAACTTCCTTAAAAAAAATGGAACCTGTTTTCATTATTTAAAAGAAAAAAAATCAAATACCATAATGTTATCCCTATGTTTCTATTAGTTTGGGTGATTTTTAGCACAATTAAATGCTTTTGAAATAGTTCAGTCACAAATTATCTTGTTTTCTTTGTCTCTCTTAGGTTGGGTATTGAAAACAAAAACTTACTTTAGTAGAAATTCTCCAGTGTTCTTGCTGGGAAAATGTTACCATTTCAAATCTGATGGTGAGTACAAAAGATTTAACTAGCTCCCATCCCATTTTGACAAACTCTATTACTATATTAATATATTTGTAATTATCTATCATTATCTTTATTAATAGATTATTAGAATTCACTATTTAATATAAAAATACATTCTTCAGTTAGGTTTCCCAGCCTTCCAACTTGCCACATTCCATGCTGCATGCACAGACCAGATAAAACACCTATTGCCAGATCAGCCTTCAGTCTTATCATTTCTGCAGATAATTCTCTTGCCAGTAAAATTGGTTGTTAATTAGGGGTGCACAGATACAGATTTTTGGGGCCGATATGAATAGCTGATTTTTAAGGAGGCATATCGGCTGATACCGATCTGATTT